GCAGATCGCCATTCTCGACCGGAATCGCTCTTCTTGAACAACCGAAATCCGACAAACGACATACAAGTGCANCAAAGCGAAACGAAGTCGGACGATGGTGAATGTCGTTTCTGATAGAGTTGTTTGATGGCCACATCGTGATTGTTGTACGAACTACGGAACACCGCACCGAAACCACCTTCGCCTGCAGAACACGAAGAATTTCCGAGTTTTAATCTCGTTCAGATGAACGTTACTGATTAGAAAGGATATCTGAGTCTCAATAAAAACATAGCTAGAAATTCACACCTTCTTCAGATGAATCGCACTGCAAAGTATTATGATATTGTTTGAATGAAGTTAAATTGTTAAATTGGAAATTCGAGATTTAATTGAAAAATTAATTTAAGATTCCTTTCTTAATGACGTGAACAATGTAATTACGTTCTCAGCGGTTGTCTTAAGCGGTTTTCAATGAAACTGAATATTGGACATGAAGCCATTCAAGGATTCATTAATGAGCAGTCGAAGATCAAACATCAAACCTCACCTAATGATATGTTGCTATTGTTATTAATATCTTGACCGTCGTTTGAGGCTGCTGCTGCTCCTTCACTGGCGAGCTGTCGCCGAACATCCTTCCTGAAATCCGGTGATCATTCTTCCGATTCAATGTGGATAATTTGAACTGCACATAGTTGTAGATATTGATGACTTATGAGGATGATGTCGATTTTTGCAGGAATTGTAACAGAAATTTAGGTATTTAAAGCATTTGAAAGGAAGTTTATTACTTGTAAAGCCGTTTTCGAGTGGCGAAAAAGTTAGCGACTCGAACTGGACTCAGAATCAACGCTTGACACTGTTTACTGGCAACAAACTGAACTGATGGTGTCTGAAATTGAATTTTATTTGATAGCGAATGAAAGCAATTTCATTTCAGTCACCTAGAAACAAAATGGTGCACATGAAAACTGATTTAGTGGATTTGTTGAAGATATTCACGAGTTAGATAAGTGCATCAATAGTGGGCAACGATGTGAAGTGATCACAAACCAAGGAATTGGAAGAAGCGGACGATTCGGAAGATATGCTGGAACATGATTCAGAGCTACTCAGGCTGGATGACAGTGGGCTGCATAGTGAGGCAAGAAAATTCGACGTCGATAAATCTGAAAGCAAAAATATATCACTCACTTTGTTGCGTACTTATCATTACTAACATTTACAATTTACTCACTTGCCATCAACCTGAATCAAAGCATCTAACTCAGATCATGTTTTATTCCTGTTCTACTATGATTCTTCAGCAGGATTGTTCAAATTCATTGGGGCAATTCGAATCTAGTTCTTCGATATAAAGATTGGTGAGCATTGCATGATGAGGCTGGCAGAAATCTTACGGAACAACGTTAACAAAATGCGAACCTTTCTGAAACGGTGACATAGGTAAGCGCATAGTCCAATCCGCCATCGTCTGTGACGACGGTTGTCTGAGGCGTTTCAATTAATCGATTCTGGACGGGGAGCTGCCACAGCACACACACACAACAAACTACCAACATTACTTTTATGAAGAGCGATTACAAATCTTTTTTTCAAAATAAAAAACATGTTTCCAGATACATTTTATTGTGTGCAGATCATAGTTGCCTTGTTCAAGTTATCAAAAGATATAACGCAGTTAGCATGTAACAAACTAGCTCATTCGATTCATAGAGGTAGGTGATGTCCGGCGAATGTTTGATTAGTTCGGCTTAAGCTATTCAAGATAATCTTTTTGGTGCCATAAACTTTTTGGTGTTGATTTCATATTTTGGTGGAGACATAAAATAGTGATCATCGTATTCAGTGCATTCACCGTAATACTTATTAATGTCTTTGAGAATTTGCTGCTTTATTCAACACTGATTATGAAAGCCACCAATGCCGAGCATGGGTTTACATATGTTTTCGCCAGTAACCACTTATTTAGTTTTATATGCATCTAAATCTCTGATGAATCCCTAAGAAAACCTAGTTGCAGGCAAAAATTTAAGTGAAAAATATCGAATGGAAGCGTAAGTGCGTTCCTGAAACTAGAGGCCACTCTCTACGCTATGGATAGCAAGGACTATCATAAGGCTGATTAGAACTGATATGTTCCTAAAGTGGATGAGTCCCCTGAGCATATGTTGTTCCGATAGAATTTCTTTACTATAATCAGACGGATTAAGGTATAATTTTTATGCGAAGATTGACTACATTATGCATTCAAGTAATGTGATCATGTTCATAGAGTTATTTCTCCTTTAAGTCTTGATGTAATCATGGTTTGTGAGAATGATTTCAGGGAATGCACGAGAGTTGATGATATTGATGATTATTTTGAGTGTTATGTAATGTGGTGACATTTTTGGAATATAGGTTGATAGTTAGAGTAGGGGTGAACAAATTTATTGACTGAACCCAACTAATAACAAAAAACGTATAAAATGAATATTTAAACGGATCAGATGATCAAACGAAATATTCAACACTACACTGGAACGCAATGGAATGTGAAACAAATCAACGGAATTTTACAAAATCAAAAGATTATTATAAATCCGAGAACACCGAAACAACATCCGCAAAAGTGAGGTATGAGTGGGACGTAGGAAAACCGGAAAAACCTGAAGACAAGCACAATGTGACGAACAATTTAGAAGAGCACCGGAATGATTCACGCGTTTCAGCACATCGAATTCAGGCAATTTCCTATACACAGCGATTTCAAGCTATAGAAACGCAGGTGCTCATGTAACTCTTATTTTAAATA